GGAGACACAGGACTTATATAGCTACTTCCTCTGTTATGTGATTGGTTACCCATGTACCTATACAGTTTTTCTTTCATTTTGATAATATTTATATTCCTCTATCTTTGCTGCTGAGGAAATAAAGAAAGAGTTATGCATAATACTTGCCTCTGTGTCTTTAATAAAATCATGACTTTACGTCATGTTACTAGTAAAATCTGGGAATTATTATGCACAGTAAGTTTCAAAACACTTTATATGTTGTAAAGAACTGAAAATTGTAATTTGTTGTGTTTGCAGCATATTTACTGAAATCAAAAGCTATTTCAATCAAACTTATAACAACATTTTAACTTTTTAAACATTTTATCAGGTCATGTTACATTTTAACATAGGACCCCTTGTTTGATAGCAGCTTCACAAGTCTTGCATTCATTGAACTTGTGAGTTTTTGGACAGTGTCTGCTTGAATTTGTTTGCAAGATGCCTCCTAGAGCTGCTGTTTGGATGTAAACTGCCTCCCACCCTGATAGACCTTTTGCTTGAGGTTCTCAATAGGATTGAGGTCAGTGGAGGATGGAGGCCACATCATGACTTTCTCTCCTTTTATCCCCATAGCAGCCATTGATGCAGAGGTATTCTTTGCAGCATGAGAATTGTCATGCATGAAGATGATTTTATTACGGAAAGAATAGTTCTTCCTTCTGTACCAGGGAAGAAAGTGGTCAGTCAGAAACTCCACATACTTTGCAGAGGTCATCTTTACACCTTCGGGGACCCTAAAGGGGCCGACCAGCTCTCTTATCATGATTCCGGCCCAAAACATGACTCCACCACCGCCTTGCTGACGTCACAGCCTTGTTGGAACAGGGTGGCCATCCACCAACCATCCACTACTCCATCCATCTGGACCATCCATGGTTGCACAGCATTCATCAGTGAACAGGACTGTTTGAAAATTAGTCTTCATGTATTTATCTGCCCAATGCAGCCATTTCTGCTTGTGAGCATTGGTTAGTGGTGGCCGAATAGAAGGTTTATGCACAGTTGCAAGACTCTGGAGGACTCTACACCTTGATGTCCGTGGGACTCCAGAGGCACCAGCAGCTTCAAATATCTGTTTGCTGCTATGTAATGGCATTTTAGCAGCTGCTCTCTTGATCCGATGCATGGATCTGGCAGAAATCTTCCTCAATGTGCCTTTATCTGCACGAACCCGTCTGTGCTCTGAATCAGCCACAAATCTCTTAATAGTGCGATGATCACGCTTAAGTTTTCTTGAAATATCTAATATTTTCATACCTCGTCCAAAGCATTGAACTATTTCATTCTTTTCGGCAACAGAGAGATCCTTTTTCTTCTCCATATTGCATGAAAATGGTGCTCTGCTTAATAATGTGGAACTCCCTCCTTTAGTAGTTTTTCCTTAAATTGGGCTCACCTGGCAACCTAATTATCACAGGTGTCCGAGGTTGTTTTCAGTGATCAAAAGAGCCCTGAGACACAATGCCATCCATGAGTTAAACTGAAGAACAAAATATTTAATCTCTGTGACACTTAAAGAATTTGCATAATAATTTGGAACAGGGTGTATTTGAGTTTCACACTTAATGTTCTAATATTATTAAATGTAGGCCTTTTCATTCATAGATGCATCAAGTAGTATACACCAACACTCCAAGATTATGAAAAGTTAAAACTTAACATTTACTAGAAATAAGAGTGTTATTGTTTGGACCATAACACCATAGCTAATATCATAGCCCAAAGTTGAATACACTGATTCCACCTAACATGTTTTGTGCTGCACCTTAGAACTTGTTTATTCGTATAACACTCACACCACACCACACCACACCACACCTCCCTCTATTAGACATACGTGATGAACTCTTTCTTTTCCAAAAAGAGAAAGGCATACTCATTCATGTGTTACCCATCTCACAATTAGAACACAATAACTTAAAAATTGATAAACATAAACTTAAAAATAAAGCATGAAATTTAGATTTACAAGTGATACCGCTACCTAAGGTTTATCATATGACATTATTTAAATTATCTATCTATCTATCTATCTACATACAGTATACTCCACTGCCAAAGGAATATCTATCTTAAAGAAACATAACCAAAGAAACAATGAATAAAATAAATCCAATAAAAAACACAATCCTCATATCTTTTCTCCATCTCACAATATGAGAATATAGAATTGTGGCGGACAGCCAGTATATCGCCGCCACGGACTCCCTTTCCCAAAGTAACGTAGCTCTATCACTCATGAAAATAAATATTGCTGGAATTGCCTTTCCCCCCATACATCAGTCGAGACTGAATGCTGGGAGTAGGTCTGTTTATTTCAGGCAAGCACTCTCAATTTATACATACAGTAAACTCCTCCCTGTGCCTGAGAGATAATGGAGTCAGGAAAATTACAGTTCAATTGTCTCCAGGTACAGAAAAATATGAATTTTTCAACACCCCAAAAGTACTCCCAAAATCCATGGAAACCCTTCGAGAGTCACAACTCCAGTTAGCCCTGATCTGAGTGCCTAACCTATCCAAAAAGTACTCAAATCGGTTTGGTGGTTTGGAATTGCCATCGAGGGAAAGATTTGCCGGGCCAGACATGAGGTAGAAGCCCAAAATAGTTCCAGAGAAATCGTGGCAATGGCTGGTCTCAGTTTGAGGATTTCTATACAAAAACCACACACAATATCAGAATGCTTCCAAATGTTGAATGCAGTCGGTATTTCATATCTCCCGAACGCCGTTCATATTGGTGGTCAGGAACTTGAAGGGGCAACAGTTCCATCTTCACCGGTGTTCCTGGGAGTGCCTAGCCAAAATCAGTTCCAGGCACTCGATGACCAGGTAATGCTGCCTGCGTTCAGAAGACAAAATGGTCACCATCCAATCTGTCGACCACGTGTGTTCAGTTGCATGAAATGGCGGCCACCCAGGGGAACATTCTATTAATGGTTTCTGTTGTGGTTTCGCACTGGATACTTTGGATTCCACGTTCTAATTAGATGGCGGGGTGGTATCAGGGTAAACACTGTGCCATCCAGGCGGCTAGGCCGTGGTCATCCCACTAGTGCCAAACAGGGGATTTGAACCGGGGTCCTTTGCTGTCTGGGCCTGCTTACTGCCTCTGAGCCACAGCTGATCCTGTACTTTTGAATAGTTCTAGCCCTGTTATACCTGGCTATGTCTGCAGCACTAGGGGGCTGGACTTCTTCTGTGGCTATTGCCTGTGCTTCACCTGAGGCAGATCGCTCATCAGCTGGGTATAAAACACTGCCCCTCCCTGAGAACATGGTCAGTTCTTTGATTATGGTTAACGTGTGTAGTTCTTGCTTTCTAGTCTCCATAGCTTGTTATCCAGTTTGATCCCGGCTTCTGACCTTGGCTCCACTCATCGTTTATCCTGACCTCTGGCATCATCTGACTTTGGCTACTCTTCGTTTATCCTGACCTCTGGCATCCTCTGACTTCGGCTACACCTTGACTATCCTTCTGCTTATGACCTTGTCTGTACTAAGTATTGGAGCACATTTCCTGCACAGCCCCGTGCACAGATTCACAGTCCAGGTGGTTTCTTACCAGGGCTGGATTAACATGGGCAAGGGCAGCTTGCCCCTCTAATTTAAGTTGGGGATATTATCACTTTTGCAGTTACTATATCTTGCGCATATACTTATGTACTTTCTCCTTTACACTATGCTCCTCTACCATCTTGTCTTCAATACATCGCCACCTCTATTACCAAGTCTGGCTTTCTAAATAACCTATATCTGTAAGTATTTCACATTTGCTCCATTTCACTAACGAAAGTGTCATGCCACTAAAAGACGATTTAAGTTATAACGGTCTATGATGAAATTAATATGCTTCTCGCTCATCCTATCTGAGCTTTTTGTGTAGTTTTGGTAGCATTACAGATTGTGTAATCTAAACACTTATACGTTCTCTTAGTACTGGTTGACTTGAAGATACCTCCTGCCAAAATATAACCATGCATGCATGGTCTAGTCACTAGTGCTACATTTTTATGTTCCTAGTTTTTTCAACCAATCACATCTCTCTTTTGATGTCATAGTGACTAGAGATGGGACAAAATTGAGCCCAATATAGGAGCTCTACCATCTACCTTGCAACCACC